AGGCTCCGTGGGGATGGGCACTCTTCTTCATCATGTCCCAGGGCCTGGCCAGGGCCACACACACGGTGGGCGATCAAATCTGTGGACTGCATGAATGTCCCACAGTCAGCTGCATGATGGACAGTGACAGCACGTGGTGCCTGAGTGATGTGTGTGTGCACATGTGTGCAAAATGGCTCTCTCCCTATTGTGCTCTTCTGTCTGTCTATCTGTCTGTCTGCATCTTTCCTTGCCTCTGACTCTTTGGCTACATGACTGTCCCATAGGGCTGTGCTTTCTCTTTCCAAGTGACACTGTATGTGTGCCCTTTGGGGTCTCGCAAAGACTCCACCTTGCCCATCCAGTCCACGCCTGACCCCATCCCCCACCGAGTTTCCCTCTGTGGTTTGCCCCGCTGGCTCCTCATCACTGAGAAAATTTTCTTTGGGCCGGCTCCGTGGCTTGGCGGTTAAGTGCGCGCGCTCTGATGCTGGCGGCCCGGGTTCGGATCCCGGGCGCGCCCCGAGGCACCACATCTCCGTCCAACCCGAGGCCGAGTCCCGCGTACAGCGACTAGAAGGATGTGAACCTACGACATACAGCTATCTGCTGGGGCTTTGGGGGGAAAAAATGAATAAATAAAATCTTAAAAAAAAAAGAAAATTTTCTTTTTTTTTTTTTGGTTAGGAAGATTATCCCTGATCTAACATCTGTTGCCAATCCGCCTCTTTTTGCTGAGGAAGATTGGCCCTGGGCTAACATCTGTGCCCATCTTCCTCTACTTTATGTGGGACGCCTGCCACAGCGTGGCTTGATAAGCAGTGCATACGTCTGCGCCCGGGATCTGAACCCGCAAACCCCGGGCCGCCGAAGCAGAGCGCGGGAACTTAACTGCTACGCCACTGGGCCGGCCCTTGAAAATTCTCTTTAGTAATTATCCTCAAATCTCTCTCTGGCTGGAGTGGTGAGTGGCTGTTTGGATGCTGCCACATCTCAATCTCCGGTCAACTGCCAATCAGAGGGCATCACTGTCTTGCCCATAACTGTCCCTGAAGCTGGTGGGGTGGGTGATGTGGAGCAGGTTGCCTCCGAGGCCTCCCACATGTTTAGATCCTCAGCACTTGTGCTTCCTTCTTCCTTCCAGTCTGTCTCCTGGGAAATGGTACTTACAGAGATTGAGGAGTTTAATACATCTCTCACTTCCTCTCTCTTTTCTGAGGCCCTGAGAGGGAGCAGCAGAAGCTGTGGCTGGCAGGGGTCCCCCGAGATGCCTGGGTGAAGGAGGAGGGGGTGGTGTGGAGCCTCAGCCAATTTGGGAAGCACTGTGACCCAAGCACATTTTGCAGCAGCAATGTCAAATCCTGCTGTTCAGGCGGCATGCCATTAGTGTGCATACTGCCACACAGAAATCGGTGACAAAAAGGCACAGCCTTCCCTACCCTCCCAGTGCTTAGAAACTAACAGCTCTAATGAGAAATGAGAGCTGAAAGGAGAGAGACGGGGGGCAGGCCACATCAGTGCAGGCTGGCGCCGTATCTTGGAGGAGGCTGACCCACTTCTTTTGGAGATAAGGAGCCTTGTGGACCAGCCCGCTGAAATGCCACTTGAATTAGCCACTGCTCCCTGCACAGGGGTCTCCTTTGTTCTCACCCCTCCCTCGTGGCTCTTGGAGGGAGTCCTGTCAACACAGCCCCACAGCTACTCTCTTCTCTTTCTCCCCTGGGGCATCCTCGGTCCCTTCACCTAGTGGACTCTCTAGGGCCATAAACTAGCCTGATTTCAGCGGCCCTCCTAAAAGAGACAGACTGAGAGAGCAGAAGTGGGCATGCATCACGCCGAGCCTCCCTTTTCTCCTGGTTTTTTGATTGTGCAGTGAGTTATTTAGCCAACAATAGATGTTTATGTATATTTTTTTAGAGCTTGTATTTATTAACAGCCTGCAAAGGGGGAGACCAGGAGATCTATACTGAGAGCGCAGTGAGTTAAAAGGGACAATTAGTGGAGCAGAGAGAGATATCGAGCAGAGAATTGTAAAGGATATTTTAATGCACAATCAAAGGTTCTTGAGATATTTTCCAAGTAGACAGAAGGTAAAAGAAAATTGGCCCATTACGAGCTGATAGCGGGGGAATTGGTGACACAGGATGGAGTAATGGCTGATGGGCTGAACTCCTACTTAGTGGAAGGTGAGGCCAGAGAGCCAGACTGGGAGGAGATGAGCCAGAATGTGGCCGCAGCAGGGCAGTAGGCTTAACAGTAGAGGTTGGCCGGGACCGCATCAAAATGTGCACTCGCCCCCGGTCAATCAAAGAATGTGCACAGAGAAAGGCTGGCAGTCTCTGGGTCAGTGTCGAGTAGCGCTGTGAGGAGCTGGGTCCTCGAGGTGGGTCTGGCCAGGGACTGGTGGGGACAGCTTGAGGGGTTGGTGAGAATATGAGGGAGGATTTGCTGGGAGCTCCTGAGGCCCTGAGGCCCCCAGTCGGCTCCAGGGAGCCCTCCCAGCAAACAGGTTCTCTCTGACCCCAGGCCCTGAAGCTCATCCTCCAAGAAGCCTTCCTGCCCATCCCACCCAGGGCCCTCAAACCACCCAATAGGCCTTCTGGAGCCCCCTTTGCTATGGTGGTGGAGTGCTGGGTGATTAGTTAGGTGAGGAGTAAACATTTGCTAAATGGGATTCTTGGCTCCTTGGTAACAAACAGCCCCCTCGCAGGAAAGAAAGGTGGGAGATAGTTGGGGGGTTCTGGGGATGGCTGATGGGCACCCAGAGCAGTACACGTGGAGGTGGCCGAGGGGGTATCTGGGCAGCTGTGCTTGGAAGCAAGGAGAGGGGCTGAGGGCTGAGCCCTGTGTGGAGGGGAAAGGAGGGAGCGCGGGAGACAAAACGGTTACGGGATACTTTCCGAGCTCAGAAGCAGCAGGTGTCTGGGAACGGGCCTCCGGCCCAGGCAGATTTCCAGAGAGCGTTCCAGCTTGCTGGCACTAGGAAAGGATCTGGCTGAGCAAAAGAAGCAAGTTGCGATGATGAAACCCACTGTTGAGGAACATTGGCAAGTGTGCCACGGGTGGGGACCACGTGTTTAGAGGCTGGGGGAGTAGGGTAGGAAAGAGGACCCCAAGTGGGGGGGCCATGCCTCCACTCCCAGAGTCGAGTCCAAGTCCCTGAGTAGGATCCCCCCGGGGTCTTCCCCTTGCCAGGCTCGCCTCCCACACCTCCCCAAAAAGTGTTCCCAGTCCTCAACTCGAAGATCTTTGCTGACACCCCAAACGCAGTGCTATTGCATGCCTCCAGCCCTCTGCCTGGAATACTCCCTATGCTCTTTCTCTGCCTGCTTCCTCATCCTGTGAGAGCCAATGGAGGGTCATCTTCTCCTGGAAACCCTTCCTGACTGCCCCCACCGCAGCTGAGTTTCTCATTGTAGGGGGGCGCTAACAGGGGCACCAATCCCACACTGGTTTCATCAATCCCATACTTGTTTCCAGATCTAGGGTCTGAGCTCCTTATAGGAGAGCCACGTCTTCCCACTTTTATGTCCCCAGAGCCTGGGCCAGTGGCTGGCGCATGTAGGCCCGTGATCAGCATTTGTTGAATGAAGGGTAGGGAGCCAGCCAAGCTCTGGCGTCATGGGAGGAGCTTGTGTGGAGAGACTCTGAGGCCACCAGTGGCCACCCAACTCCTGCCAAAGGCCACCCCCTAGAATAGAGGGCTAGATGGCCAGAGGGGAGAGAGGGAGAAGAGGAGATGGCTCCTTCCTGGGGCCTAGGGAACCTGCTGAGCGAGGATGGCAGAGGGGCTGGCCCCGTCAGGAACAAAGGAGGGGTGGCCTCAGGATTCCCAGGGGCAGGAACCCACACTTCCCTGCCCTGTACCTCCAAGGAGAGTGGTGAGTCTGGTGAGTAGAGGGGCCTTTGCTTAGTCCCGGACTTGTCAACTTGCTCTGATGTATTGGGCAATGGTGTCATTGTAACTGCGTAGCATACGGGCTGCTGAGTGACAAGTGATGTCATCCACAATAGAGCTGCTTTTATTCTCTCTACCTCCTAGAGGAGAAAGCTGCTAAAAATACACCTAGCGTCCTGGGCCCCTCTGTCTTGCCTCTAATAACAGTCGGCAACCAGAGACTATGCTGCGTTCGACAGAAGCAGATCATTTATAAAACATTAGCATTTCTTGTGCTGACATTCCACTTCCATATTACAGGACTTACTAAGTCTTTTTTTAAAAAAATTTAATAAAGTGCTTGGACTCTTGATTTTCCCACTGAGGGCTTTGCTGTCTAAAGTTGGAAATGAAATCAACAACATAACAACATCCTCTGGTTCTAAGGGACAGCCAGGCCCTGGCACTGGCCTGGGTAAGAACAGGCGGACCATCAGGGAGCAACCACAGGCCAAAGATGATTTGTTCTGCCATCGTCGGGCTCCCTTCAGTGCATGTTTCAAGCCTCGTCCAGAGGAGGATTTGTCCAGGCCTGAAAACAGCCCTCCTCCCTCTTCGTGAGGAATGCTCTCCTTTCCTCGAAGCCAAAGAGGCATGTGCAGCCTCAGGACCCTGTCCACTGCTGTCTGGGTCCGTCCCTGGCCTCCTGGAAACCCCTCTGTGCCCCAGGAACTAGCAGTTCCCTTCCAGCCATCTCTGAGCACCCCCAAAATCAACAGCTCAGTAGGTTCTTGGGAACAGGCCGAGAAGGATCCAGGACCAGCCTGCTCTGGGGAGAGACACAGAGAGAGTGCCGCCCCAGCGCAGCCAGAGTGTGGGAAGTGAGTCATATTCTGTGCCGGCGAGGGAAGAACCATCGAACGGAGAACAAGTGTGTGTGTGTGTGTGTGTGTGCGTGTGTGTGTGTGTGTGCACGAGAGTCCCTGTGAGTCAGCGTGCCCCTGCCCCCTATGGCTTCTCCTGCCAACAAATGTGCCGTGTTCTCAAAGCTGTGCCCGGCCAGGCTCGCCCACCCAACAAAAGCCGGGGATCTGCCACCCCTTTAGGAATGCGGGGTTAGGAAATGAGAAACCGGGTACTTGTCCAAGAGAAATTTTTTTAATTATTATTTTTCTCTCTTAATTGGATTCAGTGTTTCTTGCTCCTCACATACATCCTCTCTGGTGGGGAATTCAGGTTTGTGCAAAGCGCAAAGGAGATTATGCTCGCCCAGGGCCCTGGCCAGCAGCATGGCCAACCTTGACCGGAGACCCTGTTCCCTGTCTGGGCTTGCCTGCTCCATTCCCTGCACATCCCTGCTCCTGACCCTGAGTCTGGCCCCGTGACCTCTGCCCATCCCCGGGCATCTTCATAAGAGCCAGGAGGGTACAGGGCCTCCGTAATGCAGAAGTGCCTGAGATGGTTCTTGAAAATTCCCTTTTTGTTCCCCTTCTGCTAAGGCCACCTGACGCTTTCTCTCCTGCCACCCTACATAAGGCCCTCACTGGGATGCCCATCAAAGAGCCTCAAGGAAAAATTCAGCAGCTGAGCCATGCTGGAGGCCTGGGCTCATGCCCAGAGTCTCCCTGGCCTGTCCAGACCATCGCTGGCAAAACCCTAGGCTGACGACACTGCCCAGCCCATTGGACTAACACTGTGGATGCCTCCTTGCCCGTCAGCTTAAAAGACCCAAAGCCCCTTCCTTCACCTTCTCCATCCAGCCCGTCCCCAGGGCCTGGCTCCCTGACATCCAACAAGCTTCTCACTTCTCACCCTGACGCCAACAGCTACCATAGTGGGGGTGATGGGGTGCTCTGGGGCGGCAGACAGGCTTGGGTTGCATATTAAAACATGGTGATGCTCTAAATAGCTAAGAATATTGGTCCCCTGAAGTGATTCTTGCTGCCTCCCCTTCTCCCTGACCCTCCCCACTGACCCTTTGCCCCAGGCCCTGGCAAGCCCAGGTTACATGGGGACTATTGTTGCCAGGTTGAGATTCTAGACAAAAATCCTATAACTCTTTTCTTGCTAGGAATCACCAATACAATCCTTAGTTCATCAGATATAGTTTTCCATATAGTTTACAAACATGAGAAGACATACAGTTTTGTAAGGGAGCGGGGCGGGGGACCTGTGCATTTGTGTATATATATATGTAGAGAGTGTATATATATATATAAGTGGACGTAGTTAGAAAACTGCACCTCCTCTGAGAACCTCATGGAACAGGATGAAGTTCTCAATTTCAGCCTCTGATGATCTTTCCTTTGGTAGTTGGTTCTTGGAGCCCAGCAGCTGGGCCTGGGTCTGCCAGGGTTGCCTGAGACATCAGGAATGAGAGGCGTTACCCCCAAGGGAGGGACTGAAGGTGGCAAACGGCTAGATTCAGCGCAGGTTGACTAAGTGGCCTCAAGCAAGAGCCAAAATACCACCTGCTCATGTGCTCCCAGACGGCTGGTCGGCCCAGCCCCTTGGGGGAGCCTCGTCTGTTCTCCTCTGGGTCCTGCTTCCTCCGGGAGTGGTGGGGGCCCTCAGACCTCTCCAGATGACCAAGATTCCACATAGCCTGGCTCCCGTGGGGCACTGTCCCATGGCTGCTAAGGAAGGATTCACTTTTCGCACTTGAACCGCCTTGCTGGATGGGTGCTGTCCGTGGGTGCTCGGCGGGGGCTGGCTGGGACGCTGGGTGAGATGCGCTAATTCCCTCCTGCTTGGGGCTGTACACTTTGGGTTTATAATCCACCGGGCAGGGCCCAGACAGCAGCCAAAGCCTCTACCAGCCTTTGCCTGAAACCCAGCAGATCCTCCACTTGTTAAAAAAAGAAAAGAAATTCTGTTCCTTGGTGGACATGTGGCAGTGCTGGGTGCTGGCTCCTTGAGTCCTCAGCGGAGAGTGACTGCCAGCCCCAGTATCCAGGCCAGGAGCGATGCCCCCAGGGAACTGCCTGAGGAGGCCTGCTGCACCCCACTGGGGGCACGGATGGGGGTCCTGCGGGCACACTTGCCCTTCCTCTTGGGCCGTGCCGTGGGCATGATGTCAAAGCTGAACTTGTGCTGGTAGTCGGGGGCGTAGTCCTGCAGCTCGTGGGCCTGCTTCCCGGCGCCGGCCTTCGAGACCTGGTTGCGGTTCCTGTGGCTGGTGCAGTTCTTTCCCGGCTTCTTGTGGCCCAGCCGGGAGCCGGGCAGACGGCCATGTGCGTGGCCCTTGTCCCTGGCGGGGCCGTGGGGTGGGTGGTGTTCCTTGCGGGCAGCCCTGTCAGTGGTGGTGAGCGTGTGCGACTTGATCTGGTGCGGGGACGCTGGCCCTGTGCAGTTCCGGAAGTCCTCGGCCCTCAGCAGCTTCAGGTCCTGGCCACGCCGCAGCTCGGGGGACACGCAGGGGACGGCGGAGCTGGAGCCTCGGAACCTCCGCAGCCATTCCCACAGGGAGCGCGCCCGGCAGCCACAGTCCCAGGCGTTCCCGTTGAGCCGGAGGAACTCCAGGGCCCCCAGGGGTGCCAGGCAGTCGCCCTGCAGCTCAGTGAGACTGTTGTTGAAGAGGAAGAGGGTGGTCAGCCTGCGAAGGTCGTGGAAAGCCTTGTGGTGGACCCACTGCAGCTGGTTCTCATGCAGCAGCAGCCGGTCCAGGTTCACCAATCCCCGGAAGGTATCCTGGCCCAGGCTCCACAGCTTGTTGCCATGGAGAAACAGGTGGCTGAGGTTGACCAGGTCCACAAAGATGTCATCCTGGAGGTACTCAATGTGGTTGTCCTGCAGGTAGAGGTACTGCAGGCTGTGCAAGCCACCGAAGATGCCCGCCGGCAGGGCGCTGAGCCCACACTTATAGAGGTAGAGGGCATGGAGCTTCACCAGACCCTGGAAGGTCTCAGGTGCCAGCGTCCGCAGCTGCCGGTTGTCGCCAAGGTCCAGCTCCTCCAGGTGCACGAAGCCCTCAAAGGTTCTGGGGTCAATGAAGGTGATGTTGTTGGAGTAGATCCACAGGGTGACCATAGCGGGGCTGAAGTGGCCCCGCTGGAGGAGGGTGATGCGGTTGTTCTGCAGGAAGATGCGCTCGCTGTCCTCCGGGATGCCCTCAGGGATGGCATCGAAGTTGTGAGCCTGGCAGCTGACCGTCATGGGTGCCGGGTAGCACACACAGTCCCGCGGGCAGCCGCCACCCAGGGGCAGCTCCCCGGCCAGCAGCAGAAGTAGCAGTTCCACACAGCACCCTGGCAGGAGAGAGAGCACAGCCAGGTCAGGGGCTGCCCTAGGAGGCGAGAGACGGACAGGGTGGCAGGGCGGGGATGGGCACGAGACACTCGATGGCCGGCTGGGGCTCTGTCCTTGTCTGCTGTGCTCAGCAGTCTGGGATGGTAGACTCCTGAAGGCCTGGCTCCGGGTGGAAGGGAGGAAGGCAGGTCAGGCCCACGCCAGGCCCCATCTGCGGCTAGATACTGCTCCCTACACCCTGGCGCCCACCTCTGCTGGGGGTTCTAGCCCCAGCCTGAGCCATGAGGTGAGCTTGGCATGAAGGCTCTGCTCCCTCATACTTCCTTAGCCCCACACATAAAACTCTCTAGCTGCACCCCAGAGCTGCTGGGCCCTGCCCCTTCAGGCTCTGTCTGCCCTGTTGGGGTAGGGGTCACAACCCTGGACACAGCAGCCAGCCTCCAGTTCCTGTCCCAGCTCTGCCACTTAGTTGTCAGTATCTGTGTGAACAGATAGTGGTGCAGACTCCTGTCTAACAAAGTAAATATCTCCTATGGAGTCCTGAGGAGTCTTTTTATTTAAAATTTTCCAAATAACAAGCAAAGTATGCATGCATGACACCAAGAGCATCTAGAAAGATGTCTCACTTATAGCACCTTCCGTGTCCTCAAATATGCAACCCTCCTCTGTGTCTCAGTTTCCTCTTTTTTAAACAGCGCTAGTCGTCCCTTGCGGAGCTGTGAGGATGTACTGGGAGGACACGTGTGTGAGGACTGGGGAGGCAGCAGGGCTGACAGGCTCTGGGGCCCATGAAGCTGCCAGAGTGAGGCTGCCCCTCATTCAGGTCCACCTTCCGGCCCCTCCCCTGTCCCCGCCTCCTCGCTGGGGCTCCCAGGCTGTGGCTGCAAACCAGCCTTGCCTCGAGACTGTCCGGAGCATTTCCTCTGTAGCTTCCCTCTAATTGGGCATTAATTAGGCATTCGTTAATGGATCCTTAAAATAATTTATTTTCGGATGTGTCCAGCCTGTGGTCGGATAATAGCCCCATGCTCATTATCAGACCAGCCTCATTATGGACGATTGTCATTACCTGCCTTTTTCCAGGGTTGCAGCTGCCCCAGGCAGCCTGGCAGGCACATCGGTGTCCAGGGGACAGGCTCCAGGCCTGTCAACCTCCACCCCGCAGAGCCAGGCAGCCATCTTGTCACTGCCTGGGTTGGCCTCCTGCTCCTTCCCTGCCAGCTTGGCCAGCCAGGCCTCTTGGGAGAGCCAGGCGCCTGGGGCAGCTCAGCTGATTCTGACTCTGCCAGCTGTGCCCAGAGCATGTAGAATAAGACAGCCAACCCTCCGGCCACTCGCAGCCGCCTGGCTCCCAGCCTCACACCGGCCACCCGGCAGGGCTCCCAGGCCTGCCGCTGCCCCAGCCGCCCGCCCAAGTTCAGGCAGGCATTGCCACCACTGCCACCCTCTCGCTCCTGGCAGAAATGGTGTCGTAAATAAGTGACAGCTCCCAGCTGTTGGGAGTTATGGGCTCCCAGAGAGTGGCAGCTGCTTCCTGTCCCCCTGTAATCACCCAGCTTCGACCGAACATTTCCAACACATAAAAATCATCGCACATAATTTGGTTTTTGCATAATTGGGTTCAGTTCCGATTTCAGAGCAATTATGACCTCAGTAGTGGTGGCAGTGCAGCTGTGAGGACCTTTTCTGGGCCGGGCCACACTCTATGCTGCCCCTGCAGTGCCTTCAGTCATTGAGACTGCTGGACAGCCTGCAGGCCAGAGGCTGGTGCCTCCTAAGTCTCAGTTTCCCCTCTGTAGGGGATGACTGCTATGCCAGCATTCCCCACATAGCCAGGGAGCTACGCCAGCGCTCCCCACATGGAGGCTCGGGTCTGACCTCCAGACCCCCATTGCCCACCTTGGTCTGGCCAGGGGGCCCTAGCCCCGCAGAGGGAGGCAGGAGTGTGAGGGGATAGGAGCCTGGACCCCAAACCCCAGCTGACTCTCGGGAAGCATTCCCGCTGCCTTGAGCCTCCAACGCCCAGGGCTGGGAGGAGGGCCCAACCTTCCACTGAGCCCACCACTCCCTCTCCCCTCTCTCAGCTAGCACCCTCACCCCTGCCAGGGCTGCTGTCTCCCAGGAGCCCTGCCTCAGGGAGGCAGCCACCCCGCCACTCTAGGGAGCCCAGGGCGCCCCTCTTAGCTTAAGGGCATTCACAGTGCTCACTGTGCTGAAGGGAACAGAGCCATGGCCACAAACCTGTGCTTGTGGGACAAGTGCCACACCAGACCCCCCCAGGGGTCTTGCCAAGACAAAGGCCTTTCCTTCCCTTAAGTCTGGCAGCAGAGAGACGCTCACCGTGGGGCCTGAGGGGAGTGTGGCAGGCTCAGCGCTGATACCACTCGACATTTACGCAGCTTATGGAGTTTATGAAGTGCTTCTGCTTGCGTCCCCCTGATCCTCAGAACTACCCTGTGTGGTGGTGGTGGGGCAGGGGGTTCTCCTGCCCCGACCAGGGGTGAGGGCAGACAGCCCTTCTGCATGCTGTTGTGGCTCTGTCTCTCTGAGGCCTCGAGATGGGGTTCTCTGAAATGGTCCCCAGAGAAGCAAGGAGCCCTGTGGAGAGCAGCACCCCTCTCTCAGACAGGAGCCCCCAGGGGATGTTGGGGCACAGGGGAAAATGGGCAAAGACCCCAGCTTGGGTGAAAAAGCCAACTGCCCAAAAATCTAGGCGTGCGCTTAGCAGCTGACATGTGAACACACTTCGGCAGGTGGGAGGGGTCAGTTAACAGGGGGTGGAGTGAAGGTGGGACCCAGGGCAGGAGCCACGTGCCCTTCCTCTGACAGAGGCCCAGGGGAGGCAGGGACCCCAGCCAACGCTTGGAGCTGCTCTCCATCCTTCAGTACTGCCTGGATGCCAGGGAACCAGGCCAGGGAAGCTGCCCTTGCAGCTACCCCTGCCCCTCCCCTTGGGCACTGGGGTGGGTGTCAGCTGAGTCTGCTTCTCCACCTTGGAAACTGGTCCCACCTCTAAGGTCCTGGACCAGCCCTCCCAGCCAATCCCACCAGCCCCTGGCACACCCTGGCCCTGGATCGTCACCCTGCTGAGTTTCTTCCCAGGGAGGCTGGCTCTGCGTTGCTGCAGCTCCTCCTATGCCCCCTCCGTGTGGCCCATGGGAGCCCCGACCCGCTGATCGCTGATTAATGTACTAACAATGAGGCCGGTGCCTTCGCTGTGCATTTTAAGATTGCAAATTAGCAAGGATCCAAGGCTCCACGGAGCCTTGTACCCCTTCCCATCAGCCTCTTCGCCCCCTCCTGGGTGGGGCAGGGGTTGCTCTGCCTGAGGGGGCTCTTCCCCTCTTCCTCAGGCTCTCCTTCTGCTCAGCCTCTCCTCCTCCTCCTCCTCCAGCGGCACGCACCCAACTGACCGCTCGGTTACTCCCAAACCTCCCGGCCTCCCACACGTCACCCGTGTCTCCGTAGCCTCATTTGCTCCTTCCCCCATTCCACACTTGCCGCTGGAGTCCTGGAGTGTCCAAGGTGCCAGGGCAGGGAGGGGCCCAGGGAGGAACTCACAGGTTCACTAGCAGATAAGGGGGTCTCACAGTACCAGGCAGTCCGGCCAGGTGCTGGGCCCAGAGTAGGCACCTAGGGGTATGTGCGTGTCGGGGGGAAGCTCAGGGAAGGCCCCTACCGCCCCTGTGCCACCTCCTCCATGAACCCCTCTGCTCCCCTGCCAGCACAGAGGATGTGCAGAAAAGGAAAGCTGGTATTGTTTACACATCCTCCTTTGTGCAAACCCCAAACCCCTCACCCCTAGGCAAGAACCTCACCCAGTCCACTCAGCAGCCCATTCATAAGATGTGCTTAATGACAATCGCACAGGGGCTGGACCTGGTGGGGTGGATGGGAAGGGCATTCCAGGCACAGGGCACAGCATGTGCAAAGCGGAAGCAGGTGGCAGCTCTCCATCTTACCCCAGCCCCTCTCAGCCTCTAATTAGCCAGAACTCCCAAAGAGGCAGTAACACCAGCTCAGCTGGGTGGGGGGAGGCCAGGGAGCTCCCCACTGGGACCAGCACTGACAGGGCCCTGGCCAGCACAGTCCCAGGCCAGATGGCCAGTTTGGCAGGAGCCGGGCAGCTTCCCTGCCCCTGGCAGAAGGAAGGAAACTCACCAAGGAGGACCCAGCCCTAAGCATATACCAGGTTCTTTACATGCAATCCTCACCACACCCCCGTGGGTGTCACATCATTTCACAGGGGAGGAAGCGAGGGACAGAGAGGGAAGCAGTTAGCCAAGGCCACACAGCTGGTGAGCAGGGCGGTGGAGCAGGCCTCACCCCACTGACTTCTCAGGGGAGCTCCACGCTGTGTGGGCAGGGCAGCCTCATCTGAGGGCTGGTCAGGCCTCCCTGGCCCCAGGGTCTTGGACCTGACCCTGACCTGAGTCTGGCACCTGTCGGCCGTCGGCACCGAGGTGGCTGCCTCTCCCTACAGCTGCGCAGGGACAGAGTGATAGACTGGCATCCTTGTGGGCCCCTGGGCAGGTCCATGGGACTCTCTGTGGCTCAGAGATTGGCCACCCCTGTGGTCAAGCCTTCTGGCTCTGCAGCTGCCCTCCCCTTGCACAAGGCCGAGCTCCCCCAACCCCCTACTCTGACCCAGCCTTGCCAGATGCTCCTGTCTAAGCCAATCGATGCTAACCAAATGGCTCTGCTGGTCAGATAACGGCCTCAGGCCAGGCGGGCTGTGCTTACAGAGCTAGTGGCGCCTCAGACCACTTGGCACTGTCCCTCCGAGCTGCAACCAAGCACAGGCCACTTCCTGGTGAGCCTCCCCCACCCCCACCCCGCCCTAGCCTGGCCCAGCCCTTGAGACAAGGAAGCCAGCCAGGGCAGAGCTGGGTTTCCCTCCTCGGCCCCCACTGCTGGACATGGGGCGTTGGGTAGGACTGCCGGCAGCTCCCTGTCGCATGGCACAGGGCAGTGGGACAAGCACAGGCTTTGAAGCCAG